CAGAATTCCCCAGCCAGCATGGCTGGCTGGGGAATTCTGGGAGTTGAAGTCCACACATCTTAGAGTTGCTAAGGTTGAGAAACACTGATTTAGTGGGTTGTCTTACATTTGCCGAGAAGAAACTATTGAAAGCAAGAGTTTCAGACATCATTACTATTTAAAGAGGGCTGATTGCCTGGTGAATTTAACCCTTTTTAGAATATTGCAGCGTCATTCGTTCTCTTTTGATTCCCCATCCATTTCATATTCCCTTTCCCTCATTTCCTTTCAGTTTTACGTCCCTCCTTTCTCGTTTCTTCCCTTCTTAGTCCACTGACACCTTATCTTTACCCCATTTTCATCCTGTTTGCTTGTTTGTTTTGCTGTTTCTACTGGGAGGAGATATGTGTGAACTTATGTTTATATATGTAGGAATGGTTTGCATGTGAAAAACAGAATGGTCAGTATAAGCAGATAGAGATCAATTAATTTTGCGAATGGAGTACGTTATTTTATAGGCACTTAAATTTAATCAATTATTAGGGGGTTTTTTTCCTTGACTCTTTCTCCCTCTGTGTCTTCTTTTTTTTTTGGAGGGGAAATGTAGCTTCTGTCAGATACACACAAAGAGAAATGCATTTAGGATGGGAAGAAACCTCCAAGATTGCTTGCAACTGGAGATGACAACCCTAAATTGATATTAAAGGTATTAAAACTGAGCACGGCACAGAATCTCATCTGTTTTCCTAATCCCTTTTGTTTTTTTCTTTTGGGACAACTTGGGAAGTGTCTGAAATGTAGAATTGTCTTTTGGAGTAAATGCAGCAATTCTGTTCATTCTCTAACTTTGCTCCCTCCACACGTATTTTGCTTAAGCCCGTACCCTATTTCAGCATGATCTTTCACAAGCTGGCGGTCAGACTTGCAAGCTCATTTTTGCAAGTCTCCATAGGGATTCTGTGGCTGTGTTTATTCAACAGATTTAATAGGTCAAAGACCATCCATATGTTCAATGTGCTAGGATTTTAATATTAAACTAGGTTAGGATTTGCTATGGCTTAGTGCGTTGTGTGTTGCAATATGTGTGTGTAT